TTTGGGGGTGGAGTGTTCTGTAGATGTCGATTGGGTCCATTTGGTCAAGTGTTGAGTTCAGGTCATGAACATCTTTGTTAGTTTTCTGTCTCAATGATCTAATATTATTATTGGGGTATTGATGTCCTGCACGATTATTGTGTGTTTATCGAAGTCTCTTTGTATGTCTCTAAAAGCAGCTTGCTTTTTGAATCTGGGTGCTCCTCTGTCAGATGCATACATATTTAGGATAGTTATGTCTTCTTGTTGAATTGAGTCCTTTACCATTATGTAATGTCCTTGTCTTTTTTATCTTTGTTGGTTTAATGTCTGTTTTGTCTGAGTTTAGAATAAATTCAACAACCCCTGCTTTTTTTCTGTTTTTCTATTTGCTTGGTAGATTTTTCTCCATCCCTTTACTTTGAGCCTATGGGTGTCATCACATGTGAGATGGGTCTCTTGAAGACAGCATACCATCAGGTCTTGCTTATTTATTCAACTGATCACTCTGTGCCATTTAACTCGTTTACATTCAAAGTGAATATTGATGTTAGGATTTGTTCATTATTATGTAGACTTGTTTATGTGGTTGCTTTATAGTGTTACTGGTCTATGTACTTAAGTGTGTTTTTGTAGTGGCTGGTAATAGTCTTTTCTTTCCAAGGTTAGCACTCCCTTCAAGAACTCTTTTTTTTTTTTTTTTTTTTTTAATTCTTTTTTTTGAGACGGAGTCTCACTCTGTCACCCAGGCTGGAGTGCAGTGGCCGGATCTCGGCTCACAGAAAGCTCCGCCTCCCGGGTTCACGCCATTCTCCTGCCTTAGCCTCCTGAGTAGCTGGGACTACAGATGCCCACCACCTCGCCTGGCTAGTTTTTTGTATTTTTTAGTAGAGACGGGGTTTCACCGTGTTAGCCAGGATGGTCTCGATCTCCTGACCTCGTGATCCGCCCGTCTCAGCCTCCCAAAGTGCTGGGATTACAGGCTTGAGCCACCGCGCCCGGCCAAGAACTCTTGTAAGGCATATCTGATAGTAAGGAAATCCCTTAGCATTTGCATGTCTGAAAAGGATCTTATTTCTCCTTCACTTACAAAGCTTAGCTTGGCTGGATATGAAATTCTTGGTTGGAAATTCTTTTCTTTAAGAATGCTGAGCCTTGCACAGTGGCTTACACCTGTAATCCCAGCACTTTAGGAAGCTGAGGCAGGTGGATCATTTGAGGCCAGAAATTCAAGAGCAGCCTGGCCAATATGGTGAAATCCTGTCTCTACTAAAAATACAAAAAATTAGACAGGTGTGGTGGCACATGCTTGTAATCCCAGCTACTTGGGAGACTGAGGCATGAGAATCACTTGAACCTGGGAGGCAGAGGTTGCAATGAGCCAAGATTGCACCACTGCACTCCAGCCTGGATGATGGGAGTGAGACTGTCTCAAAAAAAAAAAAAAAAAAGAAAAAAAGAAAAAAAAAAAGAATGACTGTAGGCCCCCATTCTTTTCTGGTTTGTGCTGAAAGGTCTGCTGTTAGTTGATGGGGTATTTTGTAGGTGACCTGCCCTTTCTCTCTAGCTTCATTTAACATTTCTTCTATCATTTTGACCTTGAAGAATCCAATTACTATGTTTCTTGGGGATGGTCTTCTTGTGTAGTATTTCACAGGGGTTCTCTGCATTTCCTGAATTTGAATGTTGGCCTCTCTAGCAAGGTTGGGGAAATTTTCATGGATGATAACCGGAATGTGTTTTCCAAGTTGCTTGCTTTCTCTTCCTGCCTTTCGGGGATACCAGTGAGTCATATCTTTGGTCTCTTTACATAATCCCATATTTCTCAGAGGTTTTGGTCATTCTTCCTTACCATTTTTTTATTTTGGTCTCACTGAGTTATTTTGAAGAGCCAGTCTTTGAGCTCTGAGAGTCTTTCCTCAGCTTGGTTGATTCTGCTGTTAACACTTGCAGTTGTATTCTGAAATTCTTGAAGTTAATTCTTCAGCTGTATCAGCTCACTTTGCTTCTTTCTTAACATGGCCATTTCATCTTTCATCTCCTGTATTATTTTATTTATTCCTTAGATTCCTTGTATTGGGTTTCAATTTTCTCCTGAATGTCAGTGATCTCCATTCCCATCCATATTCTGAATTCCATTTCTGTCATTTCAACCTGTTTAAGCACCATTGCTGGAGAACTAGTGTGGTCATTTGCAGGTAAAAAGACACTCTGGCTTTTTGATTTGCCAGAGTTCTTGGCTGGTTCTTTCTCATCTGTGTGGGCTGGTAATCCTTCAGTCTTTGAAGGTGCCATCCTTTGGATGGCCCAGTGGTAGCATGGGCCAGGGTGCAGGGCCACTGGTGTCCATGCTTAATGTTCATGCTGGCAGTGGCAGTGTGGTGACAGTGGAAGTGGGTGTGCTTATGCTGGCAGTAATGGCATGGTGGGGTATGTGTACACCCACCCATTCTCCAGATTTGGAAAGTTTTCTGTTATTCTTTGAATAAGCTTTGTATCCCCTTTGTCTTTCTCATATCCCTGTTTAACTTCAGCAACCCAAATATTTTCTTTTTTGATGTTGTCCCATAAATCCTGCAAGCTTTCTTTATTCTTTTTCATTCTTCTTCATTTTTTTTACTCTATGTATTTTCATAGTCTTTGAGCTCACTGATTCTTCTGTTTAATTCTGCTGTTGATACTCTCTATTGCCTTTTTCATTTCATGCATTATGTTTTTCAATTCCAGGATTTCTTTGAATTTTTTTTTTTTTTAATTATTTCAATCTCTTTGTTAGATTTTTCTGGTAAATTTCTGAATTGATTCTCTGTGTTTTCTTGAAGTTCACTGTGCTTCCTTAAAACATCTGTTTTGGCTAGGCATGGTAACTCATGCCTATAATCTCAGCACTTTGGGAGGCTGAGGCAGGAAGATTGCTTGAGCCCAGGAGTTCAAGACCAGCCTGGACAACAAAGTGAGAGTCCCATGTCTACAAAAAAATTTTAAAAATAGCCAGGCATGGTAGTGCATGCCTGTGGTCCCAGCTACATGGGAGGCTGAGGTGGGAGGATTGCTTGAGCCCAGGAGGTTGAGGCTGCAGTAAGCCATGTTTGTGCCACTGTACTCCAACCTGGGTGACAGAATGAGAGCCTGTCTCCAAAAAAAGCACAAAACAAAACAAAAAACAAAGAAGAAACCCCAAAAAATATTCTTTTGAATTCTTTGTCTGAGAGATCACACATCTCTATTACTTTATGGTTGATCTCTGGCATCTTATTTTGTCTGTTTGGTGACGTCATATTTCTCTGAATGTTCTTGATTTTTGTAGAAGTGCGATGTCCTTGCCTTGAAATATTAGGTATTTATTTTTGCCTTTATAGTCTGGCTTTGTTTGTGCCTGTCCTTCTTCAGAGGGACTTCCAGGGATTCTAAGCAGACTGACTTATGTTTCCTGAGCCTGGGACCACTACTGGCATCTCAGCACTGAGGGATGGTCTAAACCCAGGCTTGCTGCAAGTCTTGCAAAGACTGAGAGGGTTGCAAAAGCTGTAGCCAGAGGGACTGGATTTAAGACTGGGGCATGTTGGGATCTGCTGTAGGAATGAAGCTGGTGGTCCATCTCATTGGCTTAGACAGGTGTATGTCACCTAGCAGGTCCCTGCACAAGTAGTTCCTTGACTACAACAAGAGGGGCCAGAGCTGAGACAGCCCCCTTGGGATCTGCTGTGGGATGGAGGCTGGTGTGCTTGTCATGGTGGTTCAGACAGGCACACAGCTGCCCGCATGGCTCTGCACAGATGGAATAATTCCCTGATTGTAGTGGGAGGGGCTGGAACTGACCATAGGCCTCTTTAGGATCTGCTGTGGAACAGAGGCTAGAGAGCCCTGTCTTGGTTTAGGGAGGTGCACATTGCCCAGCAAGTTCCTGCACAGATAGGATAGTTCCCTGACTGCAGCAGGAGGGGCCAAATCGCAGACTGGGCCTCCTCAGGATCTGCTGTGAGGTAGAGGCTGGAGAGCCCAGTCTCACTGGCTCAGAGGGGCATGTGTCTCCTAGCAAATCCCTATGCAGATGAGATAGTTACCTGATTGCAGCAGGAGGGGCCAGGGCTGACACTGGGCCCCCGTGGGATTTGCTATGGGAAGGAGCCCATCTTGTTGGCCCAGACAGGCATGTGTCTCCCAGCAGGTCTCAGCACAGACAGGATAATTCTCCACTGTAGTGACAGGGGTCAGAGCTGAGACTGGGCTCTCTCAGGATTTGCTGTAGGGTGAAGGCTAGAAAGCCCAGTCTCATTGGCTTAGAGGGGCATGTGTCTTCCAGCAAGTCCCTGCACAGTCTGGTTAGTTCTCTGATTGCAGCTGGAGGGACCAAGTCTGAGACTTGGGTCCCCTTGGAATTTGCTGTGGGACAGAGGTTGGTAAACTCATCTGGGAGCCTCAGGCTGCGAGATATGGGTGAGTCTCCCTCTAGTTCCTTGTGTAAGAGGCGGTGAGCAGGGACCTCAGCTGAGAGGGGCTGGATCAGAAAAACAGGGCAACTTTCAGGCTTACTGCCAAGACCGATGTCAGCAGGCAGACAAGCCTTTCCACCAAGGCACTAGTGTGCCCTACTCCTTCTGGACCTCTCTGCAGATGGTTTTGGTTGCAGGCTTAAGGCCAAATATGGCTGTAGCCCAGGACCTTGGAAGCCTGGGCTGTTTCTAGGCTTGAACTGGGGAGCAAGCTTGGTGGATCAGCCACTGGTGTTGGTCTGTACTCTCAAAACAATCCTTCAAGGTCTTGGAATCCACCAGCGTTTCACAAACTCCTACCTGAATCTTGATGCTCCTGCAGAGAGACTTTTGACTGTGGGTGGGTGTAGAATTTTTGTGGTTGTGAGGGGACATGAGTGGGTTATCTTCTATTCCACCATCTTCTCTCTGCCTTTTTGCATTCTGAGAGTCTCTCCACTCAGTCTTCCATTTTATGAATTAGTTCTTCAACTGGGTCCATTTGTCTATCCAGCACATGTATGAGTTATTTTCATTATAAATTTACAGCTTTGTTAGTAGTTTTGCTTCCACAGCAATCTGCTTTTGTTTCAGGAGTGAAACTTTGGCATTTCTCAGAGGATACTGATTATTCTATTTTGAAGTTTTTATAACTTTTGTTAAATAAACTTTTTATTCAGGTGATAATTCTTCTCTTTTTTATATTGTTAATTTTCCTCAAATAGTAAGAGATTCTTGATTGTTTAGTCTGTTTGTATAACAATGCTCAATCAGAAGCTTAAAATGCAGTAATTCCTGTGATTGTGGGGAGAGCAGGATGCGCGATCAGACAGTGTGCCAATCTTTCTAGAGTTGCTGTCATTTTCTCGGGTTCACAGATTAGCACTCACACTTGCAACCATGGCCCATCCCCCAGGGAATTCCTACTTTGTTCATTGCACAAGGCTTTCCCAAACTCCCTTGCAGACCCTCATCACAGGAGAAGTTATTTATGCCATGTTGTTCCATCCCCTATTACTGTTTTCTTCATTGTCATGTGACTTTTCTCATTATAATATCATTAACATGTAGAAGGTATCGGTTAACTAGGGTAAAGGTGAGCAATGTCTGCACAGGATCTAGTCCCATCAGATGCTATGCTGTGTTAGGTTGAACTCAGCTATTTATTGACTCATCTCATTCTGATGGTCCCAAGAATGAAATCACTCTGCAGCCTCCTCCTTATGACTTTGTGCTGGTTGTTCTTGGTATCTCTCCTGAATATACTGGCTCAACTCATTCTGTTTCTACTAATATAACAAATATTTCCAAATCCTCTGACAGAATGTCTTCTATATACATTTTTCTCTTCTAAGACAGTTGGTTAGCTTTCTGCTCAGTATGGACTCCCCAGTAATTCTGAGGCTCAAAAGTGCTTAGGTGTTTTAAAGTCAGATAAAAGGTCAGTGTGGCTGAAATACAGTGAATGAAGGAGAGAGTATCAAGAAATGGGATTGAAGAAGTAGACAGGGGCCCAATCATGCAGGACTTCAGAGGACTGGATAAGCAGTTTGTATTTTATCCTTAGTGCAAAGGGACTTATTACCTGATGCATGTCACAGCCAGCTCTTCTTCCTAGTTAGCATTGGGGCCGGGGACCAATGAGGACTCCCTCTAGGAGGTGCCCTGCTGCACACAGTGGATGGCAGATCTATATCCAGGGTGCTCTAGGCATCAGTCAGTGCTGTCACCAACCTTCATTCTGTTTATCTTCTGTTTCAGAGGTTGTGTTTTCGTCTTACCCTGGATTTTCAACCTCAGAGGTAGGAACTGACTACTTTATATTTGTGTTCCTGAGTTAGAACATTAATTTTAATAGACAAAATGAAATAAATTAATGGAGCCATGAGAGTCATTTCTATAGATCACACTTAGGAAGCCCATTCATTGTATAGGTAGTTGCCAAGTACCTACCATGTACCAGGTCCTGTGCTGGCCACAGACAGACATGTCTTGACCTTACCTGCCTAGTCTAACTTTCATTGTTCTCACATGCTGTTTAGTATAATGTAATAATGGCAGCTGCCTCAAGTGATAAAATTGGCATTGAAGTGGGGCTGCTACCAGCAGCTCCCTAACTAGAGTCCCCCAAAGCTGGAAAAGTCCTTGCCAGATACACCACTATCCAGGACCTAATCCTTGATGTCACAGGCTTAGACCCTTGATTTTTGTTAGCATAGAAAATTGTTTTTTCTCTCACGGCAGATACTCATGGAGACTGGTGCATGTAAACTAAATATTGATTTATTCATTTACAATAAATAGTATATCTCTTCATTTAGCCAACCTGCATCCTTGAGAGGCAACTCAGTATACAACCTCCCCACAGATACAACTGTGTGAGAAATTCTATCAGTTAACTATAGCTGCTTACTCAAACCAACCCAGTAACAATTCATTATTTTTCACCACTCACAATTGAGTTGACAAAGTGATTCCACTGGCTTCGCCAAGGCTCACTCATGCAACTGCATTTAGCTGGCAGGGTAGCTGTCGGCTGGGCTCAAGGACACAGCTGGCATGGCTTGGCATCTTCTCTGTGGTCTTTTCCTCCTGGGCTACATTGCAGTATGGTTTCATTACAGCATCAGGGTTTCAAGAGAGCAAGGATGAATTGAAAGGTTCTAAAATTGAAATAGTGTCACTTCTCCACATTCTGTTGGTCAAAGCAAGTCAAAAGCCCAGTATTATATTGCTGTACAATTCTGACGCTGACCCTTGAGTTTGTGCAGACCCCACAAGTTAAGCACAGAGCCCACAAGTGAAGGTAGTTCCCAAAAAGATTTCCCTCACTTCAGAAGCCAGCCACAAGTTTAGGAGCCCCCAGGCTATCCACACTTTGACCAACTGGTGATAAATTCAAGAGTTTCCACAACCCACTCAGGTTCAGTAATTTTCTAGAACAACTCATAAAACTCAGCAAAGGGTTATACTTACAATCACAGTTTTACTATAATGCAGCAGTCCCCAACCTTTTTGGCTCCAGGGACCAGTTTTGTGGAAGACAATTTTTCCATGGACTGGGGTGGGGTGGGTGGTTTCAGATGATTAAAGTGCATTACTTTTATTATGTACTTTATTTCTGTTATTATTACATTGTAATATATAATGAAATAATTATACGACTCACCACAATGTAGAATCAGTGGGAGCCTTGAGCTTGCTTTTGTGCAACCAGACGGTCCTATCTTGGGGTGATGGGAGACAGTGACAGATCATCAGGCATTAGATTCTCATAACAAGCACACAACCTAGATCCCTCGCATGCCCAGTTCACAGTAGGGTTTGTGCTCCTGTGAGAATCTAATGCCACTGCTGATCTGACAGGAGGTGCAGCTCAGGCAGTAATGCGAGCAATGGGGAGTGGCTGTAAATACAGATGATGTTTCACTCACTCACCCGCTGCTCACTTCTTGCTGTGTGGCCCAGTTCCCAATAAGCCAAGAACTGGCACTGGTTTGTGGCCCGAGGGTTGGGGACCCCAGCTGTAAATGACACGAATCAGGACTAGCCAAATGGAAAAGCATATAAGGTGAGGTTTGAGAGCTTTCTTGCCTCTCCCTGTGAAATCAGGGCATGTCTCCCTCCCAGCACACTGAATGTGCTCACCAACCAGGAAGCTCACCCACACCTCAGAGTCCAGAGTTTTTATTGGAGGCTTATTGGCCACCTGATTGAACTCAATTTCTAGTTCCTTATCCTCCCCAGGGGTCAGGCTGGTGCAAAGCCCCAACTCTCTAGTCACATGGTTAGTCTTTCTGGCATGGCTAGCCTCTATCCTGAGTCATGTCATTACCCTAAACTCAGGTGTGACTCAAGGGGTCCTGCATAACAAAGATATTCCTATCACTTAGAAAATTCCAAGGTTTTAGAAGCTCAGTGCCAGGAACCTGGGACAAAGACCAGACAAATTGTTTCTTATGTAACAGCCAGTCTAATTTCAGGAGGGTAGACACATGGTCTCCACCTCTGAATGGGAGAAGCAGCAAGGTCACACTGCAAAAGGGCATGTATGTGGGATGGAGGGGCTTGTGGCCATTATACAGTCTACCTCACAAGTCAAAGATAATTTGTAGGATTGCTCAGTGCTCAGATCAGCTCTCTGACATCTGAAAATCTAGAAAGTGAGTTGGATAGTTGAGACTTTTAGTGGCCTTTCTCTTAAAATCAGATGCATCTCCCTCTAAGACAGGGCCCTCTCTGCCCCCATCAGGGCCAGTTATGCCCTTGGGTCAGGATACTCCTCATCTTGACTCTCTGGCTTTTCCTTGTCTGTACTGCAGTCTGACTTACCCCCTTCAGTTCACACAGCCTTGCTCTAAGTAGGGAATTACATAGTGGAGGAGACTGCCTTATCAGACTGCCAGCACATTCCACTCTTGCATCTCAGAGATTGCCTTGGGATCACTGGGAGAGGTGAGTCATCTGAGTTCCCAAACACCATCACTGGTTTTTGTTTTATTCTCACCCGTGACTGACCTGTCCACTCATATGGTTTTACAGGTTGACCCAGAAGGGTACAAAATACTTGGCTCAAAGTAAGTGCCCCATAAATGTTCATTGAATGAACAAGCAAAATTTAAGTGACTTGCTCAAGATTCCACAGTGATTAATTAATTCAGCTTAAGACAGAATCTAGTTCATCTGAACCTAACCCTTAGCCCAACATCTACCCTTATAATATCCTGTGGTCCCATTGAACTCAGGAATTAGTGAGTGTAGTGAGTTATGTATAGTTAAACCAACAATGACCTTTTTCTGCTTGATCAAATATGTTGAACCTGTGGCAGTCTGGGTTGTATGAAAAGAACATGACCCTGCAAGAAGGGATCCAGATGCAGCATGCCACATTCAGCCCCCACGGGCTGGCTGAAGTCATTCAGGACTGTTGTTTCATCCCCAAATGAAGACCCTCCAACTCGAGGATGTGGGCTAGCCCATCAGAGCAGGTGTTCAAGGCTCAAGACACCTCCCTCTCCCTCTCCCCACTAGAAAAATTCCCCTTAAGGACACAAGCACCTTCCCCTTTGCCTTCTGGAGAAATTTTAGCCCAACTGTGTAGAAGGGCCAATTCAGGGTAAGCTGCTGTAGGGCAGAGAGGGTGGGGACCAAGTACCTCTGATGTCTGCACCAGTGCTGTATTATCCTGTGGCCTCAGAAAACTTGAAAATGGAACTTTGGGTGCTTGAGAATTAGCTCATCATATGACCTAAGAGAACTTGGAGCCAGAATTCTGGGCTGATGGTGACATCTACCCTTATGACCCTACATGTCTCTTTTTGGCCAAGTCTCTCTAGGAAGGTCATTCATTCCACCCTGTTCCATTGAAAGGGTCTGTTGGCCCTTAGTGACCTTATTTATTATTGGGCACTTTGATTTTGACTTTTCCTTCTTTCTAAGACAACCAAGATATGTTCACTTCCTCCTATATTCGAGATCCTTCCTGTGAAGTCACTGAAGGCCAGGAACCAGACGCTGGCCCCACCCTTCCCAGAGCTGAGATACCTTAGCCTGGCCTACAACAAGGTGACTTTTTGCTCCTCTACTGTTTCCTCAGGGGCACAGATGGGAGGGTGGGATGCAAGTTGCTCTGGCCTAAAAACCAACCTTCCATTCAATTCCCTGCATTACAGGTACATGGGCTCAGGAATTCTCAGGGTGGGGAAAGTGGAGGGAGTTCAGGCCAAGGCAGGAGTCCATCTCTTCAGTCACAGATATTTATTTAGCACTTACCATGAGTCAGGCTCTGTGGTAGGCACTAGGTATACTGCTGTGGAAAGAGACTTGGCCTCTGCCCTTTTGCAACTTATCACCTATAAGGAAGACAGGAAGACTGATAGGGACAAATCATCACAATACGAGCATGCTTAGTGTTATGAAGAAATTCACTGTGTTATGAAGTAAATGATGGAGGGGAGGTGTCTAACCTAATACTTGGGATCAAGGAAGGTTCCCAAGAAAGTGGTGTTTAAGCTGAGATCTGAATCAGTGAGTTTAATCAGGTGAAGAGGGGTGAGTCAAGTGAGGGTAGAAATGTAGCTTAAGGGGAACAGCAGATACAAAGTCTAAGGGACAGATTTGACATATTTTTCCAATATTCATGTCCTGTTTGGTTTTCTGTAAAATCCCACTAATTGAGCCCTACTCAAGTCTGAAATGCAGGAAACTTGTAAGATACTCTGCTCACATTCCTCTACAGCAAGCAGCTGGTACAGCTAAACTCCCCAGGGGTTTTCTTCTAAGAGTTTTATTGTTTTAGCTCTTACATTTAGGTCTTTATTTCAACTTAATCTTTATATATAGTGTGAAACAGGTATCAGCTTCATTCTTTTGCATGTGGATATCCAGCTTTCTTAACACCACTTACTGGAAAGACTATTCTTTCCCTCATTGTTACACCCTTGCCGAAAACCAGTGGACCATAGATGTATCACAGGTCCCTTTTCTTGAAATTGGTAATTTATGTCTTCTATTGATCCAAAATAGTTAGACATTACCTCTTTTATTGACTTTCTCTTATTAAACTAGCTGCTGCTTTCACTGGATGTCTCTGTTTTCTATTTCATTGATTTCTGCTCGTAACTTTACTTCTGTTCTTCTACTTAAAATGATTTTAATTTGCTCCTCTTTTTCTCACATCTTAGGCAGTATAATTTTAGTTAATTGATTTAGACCTTTCTTTCTAATATAAGCAAGTAAAGCTTTACATTTCTTCTCCAAGCACTGCTTTAGCTGAGTCCTACAAATTGTAATATATTTTCTT